TCTAGTTGTTTCTTTTCATTCTTTTCTCCTCTCTTTAAATATTTTCTCTTCTAAATTACTTATCTGATCTACGAACCGATCGCACCGTTGTATTCGTTGCAATTAAATCTTTACAACAAGATATCACATGATTATATTATGTCAAAAGAAAAACGTATGTTTCAAACCGTTAAAACAAAATATTTCATATGTGATAGTGATATGTTTCAATATGTGTCTTAAGTGTGTTTCACAAAATTCCTGAAACTACCTACTACTACTCTCTCTCCACCTCATGCATGCATACATGCATGTATTTTAGCAAGCTTCAAAATGATTTTTCTCTTAAATTACCTATTCAATCTAAGATCCGATCACACCATTGTATTCGTTTTAATTAAATCTTTACAACAAGATATCGCTTGATTATATTTTGATAAAAGAAAAACATGTGTTTCAATCAGTTAATACTTGTTGTTTCATGTGTGACAGCAACATGTTTCAACGTGTATCTTCACCATGTTTCATAAAATATTTAAATGTTCCAGTTGCTGATTTTTTTCACCATATATATAACATGATGTTTTACTTGTTGGTCAACTGCAACATTTGACCATCCATTTTTTTTTAATTTAAAAATGTTTCACCTAATGTACTCATGATGTTTCACTATGTATGAATCAAATGTTGCAGTGAGTTAAAACATCCTTTCGCTATTCGCTGAAACATTATTTTCATATAAGGCGAAACGGCGTCCAATAAAACATTTTCGATCTACTTAGTGAAACAATTCCAATACTTGGTGCAACAGCGTGCAACATTTAAAAATAATTTAATAATAAGCTAAAAAAAATTTCATCGGATTATATTCATGTGTGGTCTTGTTTTAAAGATTTAATTGCAACGAATTTAATGGTGCAATCGGATCATGATTTGGATAAATATTTTGAGAGAAAAAATAGTTTAAAATTCATTTGATACATGCATAATGGATGGCTGGTGTACCTGTGCATGGATCGGACGGTTGCGGAGGCATCCGATTTTTCGTCTCGCGTCGTACGTCCGACGCGTAGCGCTCTCCGGACTCTCCGCGTGCGCACCGCGCCTGACGACGACGATCATGGACTCATGGTCATGGAGCCGCAGCCAGGCCCCGTTTGGACCATTTCTCGTCGCGAGCAAGTAGGCAAATCACGTTGCTTTCAGTAGTTATGGCTAGATAGGGAGAGAGGGCGAGAAAGCTAGTTGGCGGGGATATGATGTTACTCGTTTTACTGACTTGTAATTTCGCTCTCAATTGAGTACAAGATCGCGCAGGAGCAGCAACATAAGCCAATAACAAACGGAGCCTACGGATATGGAGACCGCGAAGTCATCCATCCCCTGTTGACAGTTCTTCTTGCTTGAGTACAAGATCGGGCAGGAGCAGCAACATAAGCCAATAACAAACGGAGCCTACGGATATGGAGACCGCGAAGTCATCCATCCCCTGTTGACAGTTCTTCTTGCTTGAGTACAAGATCGGGCAGGAGCAGCAACATAAGCCAATAACAAACGGAGCCTACGGATATGGAGACTGCGAAGTCATCCATCCCCTGTTGATAGTTCTTCAGTTTTACCGAAACAACCTAATTTTATTTTACAAAAGATGCAAAAAAAAATACCGATGTCAACCGGTGGAAAGGTAACACCGTTTTGTCGCTACATGGAAAGGCGAGGAGCCCCATGTCGACAACCCACCTGGTGAGGATTAGAGCAGATACAATAGAAGGCTATAAGCCAGTTGCAAACATATTTTAAGAAGATAAATGATGAGAGAGAAGAGCAGCGGGCTATAGATCTGTAGCCAGCTGTAGCACGGACTCCAAGACGCAGTGTGTGTATGACAGGTAGGACCAGATATTAATAGTGTAGTATATAACTATTGTATAAATAAGCTATTTATTAGATTAGCTATAGATGAATTGAAGCTAGTAGTTGGCTATACTATTAAACTTGCTCTTACGCACTCTATGACTCTAACGCCGGCATTACTGAGCTCACGCTAGTCTTCTCGTGCCTATACGTGGCCACCCTAGCTGTTGGTCATGCTCGCCTCGAGCTCACGCACACGCAACCGTACGTCCACGCTCGCCCTAAGCCCATCTATGCGCGCTCTGTTAACGATAGTTAAGTATCAATGTCGACGGCAACTATCATAATAAATAAATGGAGAACTAATATTTTTTACGTATGGCAATAATAAAAAATATAATTTCACTTGTCTTAGAGAAATAACATGTATGCAAAGATTATACACCAAAATAAAGGAGAAATGAGCCAACATGCAAAGAAACACATTTCTAGCGAATCACGTAAGAGCACATGGATTGATGGGCCCAAGTCAGGCCAAACCGACTTAAAATGTGTCCAATCAACCGTGCACCAATCGAAGGGCCCACATGTCAGCCTCAGGACAAGGTCGGTAGTGAATGGTGGAGTCCCTGGTTCGGCCAAACCAGGGGTGTACCCCTCGCCACCGTCTTCCACGTGGTGCCTCCTCCCGCACTCTTGATAGCGGTTATGCCTAATTCCCAAACCAAAACCGATCTAAGCAACTGTCATTAGAAGCTATAAATAGAGGAGAGTTCCTTACTTCACAGCACATACTCAAGGAGAAATTTTCTCTATCTGCATTGTATTCTCTACAATATTAGTGGAAATAGGCTTAGAGTAATCTTCGGTTCTATGGTTTTCTCGGAGATTCCAGTATGACTTTAGTACTTTACTGTTCTTGTAAAACTATAGTTGAATTAATAGAATTACCTTCTTTATATTCTTGTGTTCATAGTTCATATACTGCTTTGGTAGTTTTGTGTTTTATGATTAGGATATACTTCATTTATATGATTCACTTGATTAGGCTAGTCGATCAATACTACGGTTACAGTCCAATAACCTTAGCGGATTACACTAATTCTTACTTGTTCATCTGAAAGGTGGGAGTCACATTTTAGATTGGTGTGTGTCACACTATCCAATTATCCTTATTATTCTAACCCCTGTTTACACTATGGTGAATTAATTATAGCTTGATTAATGATGTATAAACTTTATCTTTACACCATCATCTTCCCTGCAAAAATATAAATACGATACCCTTTGAATAACCCTAGGTGAAATACTACAGCGGTATCCGTACACCTGCAGATTTATCTGTGATCGTAAAAAATACCAGCATGCCACAGCAATCAGACTCACACGCTCGTGTCAATCATGCTCACCCCGTGCATGCTCGCTTTAGATGCACCTCTCGCTTTAATAGTACGTGTGCTCGTCTTAAGCTCACCAACGCCAATCGTAGGTCCGTCCCGCTCCCACTCCCGCTCCCGTCTCTGTCTCATCGCTCCGATCAGCATCATTGGCGCTTCTCACGTTGATGGCTCAAGCACCATTGCCGCTCAAATATGGTGTCACGTGCTCACTTGCATGCCCGCACATGGACACCTAGAGTAGTCAACCAGGTCAATTACTCAAGGCTTGTCACCCTTCCATGCAACGACATATACAGCGTGGCATAAGTGCCCACATGTCAACTACTTTTTCCCTTCCCTTACTGACATCTCCCCTGGCAACCTTCCCTCCCAACTCCACAGTGCCACCGACTTCTCTTCCTCTTCTTCTCACATTCTCGGTTGGGGTTTTAGACTATTTGCCATTGTCCTGAAGGGCGTATTCTCAAATGCCATTCTCTAGAATAACTTTGACTTTTTGCTATCGGAGAAAGAAGATTTCTTGTTCGTGAGCCATTTTTCAGCCCATGAGAAGCCATGTCACCAAATTCGAGGACAAAATGGCCGCCTTGCCCTCCTCCTTTCTTTCTTCTTTGCCTTCACTCACCTTCATCATCTCCCTCTCCTCCGGCGTGCTCCCTGTCAATGAAGGTGTACAAGCAGACGAAGCCACGTGAGCTCCACGTCGAGGGTGCGGCCGAGGGTCATGGCCTTGCAGTAAGCATCCGCGAGTGCCATACCTCCACCATCGGCTCGCTGTCGAGGGGTACGATCGTCGTGGCCACGATATCCTCTTCCACTAGAGCCACCAACGACCCATCGTCGAGGGCTCCACTTACCCGCTGGTGTTGATCACTCCTGCCTCACCCATCACCGACCTCGTCCTCACGGGGCAAAGCCACCGCTAGCTATCCTCTCCTCTTGCGCATACAGAGGAGCGGGGTGAAGGAGACGGCTGGAGCTCGCGGGCCAGGGGGTTTATCAGCGTGGCAATCCTCACTGGAGCCCAAGCACAAGGCAAGGAGCGAGAATGAAAGACATTGAGAGGGGCAAAACGGACCCTTTCGTCCTCGGATTTGGTGATGTGGCTTCTGATGGGCTGGAAAATGGCAAATGAGCAAGAAATCTTCTCTCTTCGATGGTAAAATTAAAAGTTATTTGGAAGAATGGTATTTGAGAATACGGCATTCGGAAGAGTGGCAAATAGACCAAAACCCCTCGCTGCCAGGTCCGGACGGACGTGATGATCCTTTTAGAACAAAGGATAAATCCTACCAAAGAAAACATTTCACGTAATTTGGCAACATTGAAAATCTTTAACCCTTTTAGAAAACTTAAATATCTTTTTCATCACTACCTCCATATTTAGATATTTTAGGTATTAATCATGCTTCTAAATCGAAGATTTAAGTATGCTTCGATCTGCAAGCTACTTTTTCCATCGTGGAAATATACAAATTGTAGTAATGGTGTAATGGTAGTATGGTACAGAGGGGGAAATCACTACAGGTTCATGCCACAGGTTCACAAGTTTTCAATTTACTACTATAATAACTTGCGGGTTTAAAACATGCGCACAAACATGACTGAGAATAATATTTCCTCCGTTTCACAATGTAAGACTTTCTAGCATTGCCCACATTCATTATGTGTTTAGATTTATTAACATCTATATGTATGTGGTTAATGCTAGAAAGTCTTACATTGTGAAATGGAGGGAGTAGGTGTTACCAAATCATGATAAATTACTTGTCAAAAAATAACAGCTCCATGAGTTAATTTGCAAAGCAAAGCAAGTACGATACAAAAAGTGGGCAGATACTTCCATCAAACAACTAACCCACAACATGGTGCACACTATGTATGTCTACATATCAGAATATATGCCGTTCTGTACTTCAAAACAAGAGAAAATATATCCCATATTTGGGAAGAAAATCCATCATGCAAAGGTTTCATACAAATGCTATGCTCCAGGCTAGATCTAAGAAACATAGCAGACTAACCAAGAGGAGAACAAACAAATTACAGCAGAATAAGATCACAACAGAAGAAACTTAATTTTGTTACCTGTGAACTATGAGTTAAACATTCAAGGCTTACACCTCCTGATACTGGTGTAAAATTGTGAACCATGGCATACACAGCAAGAAAACTCTGTACACCAAACTTATATATCAACGTCACCCCCAGAGCTGGCTGAATCACCATCACTGCCGTCACTATCACTGCTGCTGCTTCCACTACCACTCCCACTTCCACTGCTACTACTGCTGCTGCTGCTCCCGCTAGAGCTAGAGGTTTCCTGCTCATCCTGCTGCCCTTCTGCATTGACTTGAGCTCGCAGGGCCTCGGCTGCATTGAGTCCCTCATCAGCCTCATCACTGACATCTACATCAGCAATTTCATCATCTATGTCAAGCTGGTTTGGTATGTTGATGTCAAAACCACGAACAGAAGCTCCTTGTCCAGAGGACATGTTATTCGGTGAGCCATTGTCATCATCACCAAGTATGTCTAGGTTCTCCTCTTGATCATTTGGATCAGGCGAAAATGAAAATGGATTTGTGGTAACAGGTTGGTATGTAGTGCTCCTGTTATTGTTTCTTAGACCTGCAACTGGCAAACTAGAAAATGAGAACAAACGATAAATCCTATCCAAGAAAACATTTCACGTAATTTGGCAACATTGACAATCTTTAACAACCCTTTTAGAAAACGCAAACATCTTTTTCATCACTACCTCTATTTTTAGATATTTTAGGTATTAATCATGCTTCTATAATCGAGGAGAACAATGTTCAAGTATGCTTCGATCTGTATGCTACTTTTTCATCGTGGAAATATACTACAAATTGTAGTAATGGTGGCAGTATGGTACAGAGGGGGAAATCACTACATGCGCCTCTGAGTTGTAGAATGGCATGTATTTGGTGAACTAATATATTTTTTTTGCAGAACAGGTCAAAACGGCAATTAGAAAGGTTAAACTGTTTTTGCATTGTGCCATATCTTTCCTCCAGCACCATGAAATTTGACAAGATGATATCATGGTACAAGGACCATTCCAAGAACTGCAAACTACAACATCAACATCAAGACCCGAACATAGAATTTGGTGTATAACCTACATGGCAAATGCCTTGCCTTTGTTTTAACAACAATTACGCGAATGTATTCATCATCTCTAGTATCAGAGCAAGTTAAGAAACTAAAAGATCCTCATGATTAAGAACAACATTGCAATAAAAAAAGGGTCACATTACCTGGATTTTCAGGTTCACCAATGTCAATGCGTTCAACCTCAACCTATAAAATGATGATCAAAGGTCAGAAGTCAGACGATGATTAAATAGAAGAGTTTCTTAAACTTCAAGAATTCCACTAAAATTGTACAACGTGATATCACAGAGGTTGGCCAATATCCCCCAGGGCCCAGGGTCAGCATATCAATAACATTGTCAGCTTATAAATCTATTTATGAACTTATAACACTTTAGGATGCTTTCTTCAGGAATCTAGTCTCAATATATATAATCTGGAGTAAACTGGGAATGATATGAGAAATATAACAAACTTATGAGCCTATATCCAAGTCTTAGAAAGTATGTAAAGTACATTTTAGATTGGGACAAGGATGCATCTCTCATGCAAATCAAATGTTCAGAGATTGTATCTCTACTTTGAGCTCACTAAAAGCTGAAATCACTTTGATACCCAAAATATAGCAGTATATTCAGTAGCAATGGCACAGTTGCATGATAATGATACTATGTTACAAAAGCTCCCATCCGAACACTTGCATTGAACAGGCAAGGGCCCTGACAAAATCCCCATCAGGGATAATGATACTATGTCACAAAAGCTTGGGGTTAATGGATCCAGGAACTGAAACGAGGAACTTAGCAAGGACTGTATAAAGTTTTCTTTGATAAAAAGAAAAGCATTAACATGATAGGAAAACAATCCCTGGCCCAGTCCAATTGTCATGTGATACGAAGTTAATTAGGATAATTGAATATGGTCCATTGTATCAAGCCATCAAATTTCCATATTCAAAGAAAAGGAACAGAACTTGCTACCATATTTTGGCAAAAAAAAAAAACTTTCATCGGTAGTCAGAGCTAACCATACTGTATTCTGGCATAAAAGTTGTGTAAAGGAAATTTCTACTCACTATCCAATGTTTGGCCTTCTGAAATATAAATTATGAAGAATAAAAATTAACAATATTCACTTTTCAATCAGATGCTCAAAGACTAATGTTTTCATAAACCATTAAATACTAATAACCTAAAACATACTATGAAATTCAAATATTAATCACTTTACCATATCACAAATATAACATAATCCTGTGGATGCTTACGGGTCTGAGAGATGTTAGATTCAAAAGAGCTTATGAACTGGCTAGGCTTGAATTTAGACAAACATGAAATTTTATTGTGGCACATATATAATGTTTTATACTTTCTACATGAAGACAATCAGGTAATATGGTCTACAACATTCCAAAAAGCCCGAATTGTTTAATATGCTACCGATAAATATTACTGAAGGGCCTATATATGAGTGGTTCCAGTCTCCCAGATAACAAAAATCTCTTGGCAAATGTTTTGTGTTTGTCAGTCTAAATAGTGTGCATCATATATTGTCTCATACCGGTTATTCAACGTTATCACTTTTTTTCCTCCAATACCTAAGGTCGTAACAAATTATATAACAATGTATCAAAATTTATCTAGGGCATCTAAAATGCTGAAAGAACTTACAGGAACTGAGTGTACAGCAGGTTTACTCATGGCCGGTGACTTTCCAACTTTCGGTAATGGAGGGGAATGTGATTCGCCCATTCCAGTAGTAGCCGAAGTGGCTGCCGAAGACTCTCCTGGAACTCGGACATGCCTTAATCTCTTGACAGCCCGATGCAACCGCTCCAGACGAAAGGTTTCACCATCAAAAAACAAGACACCATCATTATCCTTGTACTCTTCTTGGCTTCCTTCAAATGTCACCTTTGGCTTGCCAGGCTGATTGTTGTGGAATTCCACAGTAACCCTGTTATCTTTGGTCTTCTGCAGAGACCCAGCTTGAGTCTTATCAATTGATGCTGGCTTAAATTCATCTGTCAACACAAATATAAGAAAAGGGTTCAACACGACATAGCCTGATATGTATTTATAATATAAAAGAATAAGGATCAACACATTAGAGATATTTGTAGAAATAGTTTTCAGGCAAAAGAAAAATGGTTATTTCAAACTTCATAATCCAATAATGGACTTAAAATGGAAGGGAAAGCTAGACAGCAACCAACGAAGTGGTGACTCATTGGATTTCAGCAAATTGTTATGCTAATTCATTCATGAAGAGTACCCAGGACAGGCATGCCCTACATGATCGTGGTAACCTTTTTCAAACCACGAGAGGGAGAGAAAATTAACTATTTAATCAGTTTTGGGAGCATCAATTTTGATTCCTTTATTACCAATGACTTGTTTTGGCCCAATGAAAAAAAAATTGAAACATGTCACATAACCATCAAGAGGGAAAAGCTTATGAGATAGTGAATCGTTGGCCATATAAAAGGAGAGCAAGAGAGCACAGAAACTATGCATCACAATACCAAGAGCACCCGATTCACCAAACCAAGGAACCATGGAATCAATGCTACAGACCCCAAAAATATATATGCGAGTTCAACCCTTCCTAACAATTATTTTGCTGTCTCCAACAAACCAAAATTTTACTACTTTAGAGATAAAGCAAATGCTACCTGATCAACCAAAGGAAACATATTCAGAAGAACAAAGACAACTGACATGTGGTAATCCCACCAATTGTGGCTGATGAAAAGTCACAAATGTCAAATATGCACCGATGATGAGTCACGCATGTCCAAATAAGAGCATCATGCCGTGTTCACGACCCCAACGCCGCTAAACAGGGAGTGCTTTGCCACCAGCTCGATGAATTCCAGAACTCCAATTGGACACGGACGCATCACTAAAAGCATACTATCGCCAAATCCCCCCCCCCCCCATCGCACCACCGAAGGGCGCGAGAATTACCAGCGAAGAGGAACCTGTGCTCCGGCCGCGTGCGCTACGCATATGCGCCTCACGAGTATCAGGGAGGGAAGGAGGAAGGGGATTTGGGGGGCGTACAGCGGAGCGTGCAGAACTTGGCGGTGGGGGAGGGGTCGCGGCAGGAGGAGCCCAGCCGGAGCTCGTACCACCGATTCGGCTGCGGCGCCGTGCTCGGCTCGCCGCTGTTGCCGCTCGCCATCCCCGCGCCGCCCCTCGCCGCCGACACCGGCGGCGATCGATCGATGCCGAGAGATGGTCCCCCGCGACGGATCGACCCCGACCCTAACCTCGAAATCGCAAGGAGGGCCCTAATTTGTTCCCCCTCAAGTTTTCTTACACAAATTTCATCTAACCCCCTCAAGTCGCCCGTAATTACTGGAAGCCGATTAAGAGACGTTTCCCAACTCAGAAACTTTTCGTTTACTAATTTGAAGTTGAAGCTCATTTTCTATTGATGCTAATAAAGAATTATGAATCAATTGAGAAATTTAACAAAACTCTAAACAAACTCATGTTTTTATTTTTTTAATAAATCTAAACAAACTCATCTTTTTTTTAATAAATCTAAACAAACACATTTTCAAAATTTTCTTTTCTCCTTAAACATTTCGCGCTTGAATGTAGGAGAAAAACATATTCATTACATGACTTTAGAGCGTCAAAGGAGGCCATCGGATGGTTTATTGGGTCCGGGAATAAACCAAACGGTATATTTACAAACGAAAAAAATTTACAAATAAAACTTTTATATACGTGTTCGTAATGATCTAAAAGCAAAGGCTGAAAAATAAACTTCGATGAAAAAACCTTAATATGGACTCCAAATTTAAGGTTGAAAATTCTAATTTTCGCTGATAAGTATAATTATAAATGAAAAGATTAGACCGTTTGTTTCAAATTTTCTTACTTAGATGGAGATAAAAAAAACACAATTAACCTCTAGATCACCCTGTGACTCTGCATTATCCAACCACCACGGGTACAGTAAACCGGTGGAAGTGCAATTTGGTTTGGTTATCCACCATTACCAACATGGTCGTCAATAGCGATCGATGTTCAGGATATAATACGACGTATACTATGAAATTAGGCCATCCTGTGCTAATAGTTGGATAATCAAGAAATTTACAATATTATCATGTTCTGTGCTGTATTATTGCTTGAAATTTTCTCTTACACTAATGGCAGGCTTCCGTTCTTTTTTTCAGAAAAAAAAAAGATTTATGTCCTGTTACAAAGAGAAGTGGCAACATTGCAATGCAATAAGCAGTACAGGGAAAACACTTCAAAAGATGGCTGGGAGTTACGATTGATTTTAACTTTCAAGTCAAAAAAGGTGTAAACACATCAAAAAATTGATCTCCTTTTACGCCGTACACCACTAATTAACACTGCAACTGCATCTACCTACATTAAGGGAGTCGACGTGTCTTGGGCTCTTCGCCACCTGCGCTGCTGCACAACAGCCAGCCATAAGTATTGGCCTTGATGGAGCGCACGCTAGCCGTAAGTGTTGGCCTTGACGTCGCGCACCGTGCGCTCTAGCATGTCCGCAACCTCAGCATCACCATCTCCAGCACCATCACGCTAGCCAAGCGGGTACTCGTGCATCTCTGGTAGGCTGCCCCGACCGGCGTTGAACACGGCGTGCGCCTCGCCCACCAACCTGCACCACAACATGTCGTCCACGTGCACCATTGCGTATATGTACCACTGCATAGCGCATCTGGTCCGGTGCGACGTCCACCCAGAGGAAGAGGCAGTCGTGCGCCTCGTGGAACGCACTAGCCACCTTCTCCCTACACTAGCCAACCAGTGTGTAATGAAGGTGTCGGCGGTAGCCCGCCTAGAGGACGACAGCGATGGCATCGGCGTGCGTGTCCTCTGTGGCGCACGCCACTGAGGACCCTACACCCCCACAATGACGCGTACGTACTTGATAGAGAAACACGAGGGCAGCAGCGACGTTAAGGGGGTGTTTGGGAGAGAGGGGCTAAAGTTTAGCCCCTCTCTCAAAAACATATGAGAGAGGGGCTAAACTTTAGCCCCTCTCTCCCAAACACCCCCTAAGCTCGCGGTCATGACAACATTATCTGGCTGGCCGTCGCACAGAAGGATCGAAGACCTACTGCCTCAGCACAATTGGGCAGCATAGCCAAGGGTGCGCCTCATAAGGAGATGTATGTAGAAGGTTGTTTCTGATGTGGGAACCGGAGACACCCACCAATGACAACAATAACATCAATGGAGACATTGAACACGCCGCTGACGTAACCACTGGCACTGGCTTGGGACTTTGCATCGGTGATGCATGTGAATGGTGGTGGCTTAAGTCGCGGTTTCGGAAATTTACCCGACCTTTTCTATACCCTAAAATTTTACCCGATCTCTTCTATACCCCCGAAATTTGAGATCAAATTGAAGAGATCAAATTAAAATTTGGGGGTATAGGAGGGATTGGGTAAATTTCAAGGTATGAGAAGGATTGAGTGGGTTTTCAAGGGTATAATAGGGAATTTACTCTTCAGTAATAAAGCTCTTTTTGTACTGTAGCCAGATTAATTCCTGAGCTCTCATGGACCAAAACACTGCTGATAGTGGGTAGAAAAACTTAAGGCTGTTTGGAAGAAAGGAATACAGAACACATAGGTAAAAACACGGGAGTATGATATACTGTAAAGTGATAAAACACAGGACTGCTAAAATTTGGGTTGTTTGGACCAGAAGAAAAACGTAGGAGAGACACATAGACACTGGATGCTTTATTTCTCATTAAAATGGAGGATTTGCACCATTTCCAAAGGAAATCAGCAGCAGCTTTCCTTTGTCCCAAACAGCTTTGTATGGAAAAACTCACACAGCTAAGTCAACAAATCCTTAGGTCAGTACAGAAATAACAACAGCCATCATCCACACGACGAAAGTCCACAATCCTTAGCTCAGCAGAAAATAGGGTTCAGGAGTCAGGACTATCCAGCTTATCACTTTCACATTAAGTAGGGTAACTGTATATGCTTAGACAACTGACACTTTTCAGCTTGCGGTAGCACCAACCAACCAAACAATGTTTTTCTTGGAGTAGTGAACAACGTTGAGTGAATTGAATCTTTCTCATCAAGCAGCCAAAATGCCTAATCCATCATTTCATTGTCTTGGGGCCATGCCTTGACACCTTTGAATGGAATTGGGTGTTTGGAAGAAACTTGAGTAAAAAGATCTTCAAAAGATGCGAATGCACGCATAAGCTGTAACCGCAGTTGTTAGTAGCACAGATACAGCATTAACCGCATCATTATCCAGGATAGTCATTCCAGAAATCTTGGTGACTGTAGGGCCCCGTTTACTGACCACCTGCAAACAAGCAAGAAACTATTACATGTCAGGAAGCTAAAATCACCTGATGGTGTGTGGCTAAAAGAATCATTAAATGCCGAAGTAGATTAAACTTTTATGATTGCAAAAGCTTCACAAGCAGTTTTCAAACTAGACAAATATATTAAGTATAATGGTGAATCTAGTGAGGGTGAATCTGCCACCACCTACCAACTGATATGTGAGGCCATAAAATTGGTGAATCTGCCAGCTACTCCCACTATTAGCTGATATGTTGCGCTACTAAACAGTGACGTGTGTAGACTATTCATTCCCAACTAATGGAGGAGACAGAAATTGTTGGTGTAAATATGTATTGTACCAAGGACCTATCTGTAAAGTGTTATACTAATAGAATAGATGAGGAAGGGGTGAGCTGAGTAGGCAAACCCTAGAAAAATTCCCCAAATTGAACAATATGGTATCAGAGCGGGTCGCCGGCGACTGGGGAGGTTGAACCCTAGCTGGCGAGGTCGCAGCGGCGCGGCGCGGGCCGAGGCGAGGTTGGCGCGGCGCGACGACACACGCGCGAGGCCAGCGTGGCCGCACGCGGCGGAGACGGTTGGTGGCCGTGGCAGGAAGAGGCGCTGTGCCGGCGCAGGATGGCAGCGCTGCTAAGGCGGGACGTGGAGTGAGGAAGCGACGGTGTCGATGGCAGGGAGCACCAACGGCGACGACGCGTGCGGAGGGCTAGCTGGTGACGGCGTGTGGCAGAGGAGCAGGTTGTTGCTGCTGCTGCTGAGGTGTTGGTGCTGCTGCTACTTGAGAAGGTGAAGTGGGCGCTTGGCTTGCTGTTGCTGCTGTATTTGCTGCTGCTGTGCTGATTTGGGGAAGAAACTGAGTACTTGCTGCTGTGCTGAAAACTGAGAAGTAGTGCTATTGCTGCTGTTCTGTTTTGGTGAGAAACCGAGGAGTAGTGTTGTTGCTCCTATTAGTTGATTTGGCTAATATTTGATCTGCCATGGGGGATTGAAGTCTGGTCCTTGTTGTATCTCTGTTAATGTGGTAAAGAAGAAGCTAAGGGAAGAAAAAAATGTCTTCTGGGGAGGGAAAGGAGGTTGTGGATACTTCATTGCTTGTTACTAAAGGTGATATGAAAGGTTTGCTAGAGGATTTGCTGAAGATGGGCATGATAGGTCCTAGGAATGCGGCTGGAGTGTCTGAAGTGAAACTAGAATTGATGCCAAATGAGTTGAGGTTGGAGGGGAGCAAAAATTATTTGAGTTGGTGTAGGAGAGCCCAACTGATGTTGAGAGCAAAAGGGGTGGATCATTTTTTACTAGAGAGTTGTGAAGAACCTTCTGATAAGGAGAGCCAAGCATGGAGGACGTGGAATACTACAAATTCCACTGTGGTATCTTGGTTGATGACCTTGGTGGCTCCTTCTATTGGCAGGATGATAGAAGCTATCCAGAATGCTGCAGTTGTATGGAAGACGCTGAGCAACATGTATTCAGGAGAGGGAAATGTAATGATGATGGTTGAGGCTCAGAACAAAGTGGAGAATTTGAAGCAAGAGGGGAGAACAGTCCAAGAGTACGCTAGCGAGCTGCAACAGTTATGGGCAGATCTTGATCACTATGATCCCCTACTATTGAAACATGAGGATGACATTGTGATTGGAAATAAATGGCTGCAGAGGCGAAGAGTCATTCATTTCTTGAAGGGGTTGAACAAGGAGTTTGAGGATAGGAGAGCAGCTATGTTCCACCAAGCTACATTGCCCACTATGGAAGAGGCCATTTCAGCAATGGTGCAGGAAGAGATGAGATTGAGGTTGATGAGAGGTACAAATCCTATAAGATCAGCATACATTGCAGCTGATAATAGGGAATGCTACAATTGTGGGCAAGTGGGTCATGTGAGCTACAATTGTCCCACTTCCCGGAACATTGGTGGTAGGGGATCGATTCGAGGAGGGCATGGTGGAACTCGTGGTGGATTTGGAGGAGACCGTGGTGGTTTTGGGGGAAATCGTGGGGGTAGAGGAGGTGATCGTGGAGGTCGTGTTGGAGGTCGTGGTAGGGGCAGAGGTGTTCCTCAGGCCAATGCAGCTACGGAGGATGGGAAAGCTGTTACCCTAATAGGTGAACAAGTGACACAATGGGAGGAATGGCAGAAGAACAAGACCAATGAGAGCTCTAACACCACCACTCACTTTGGTAACTTCGCCAACTATGCCCAAGTGGGCGAAGGTACTCAGGCACAAGCACTTGCATCTACATATAGACATCCTATAGATTGGATCATAGACTCAGGAGCATCAAAGCATGTCACAGGATTGCATAATACTTTCACATCATACACCCCTTATATCCACTCTGAAACTATCCAAATCGCTGATGGTACATCCAAGCCTATTCATGGTATAGGGTCGGTAGAGTGCACATCATCAATGAACTTGTCTTCTGTTCTGCATGTTCCTTCCTTTCCAGTTAACCTTCTCTCAGTTAGCTCGGCTATTGATCAACTCAAGTGCATTGTTGTATTTGATGAGAATTCTTGTCTGTTCCAGGAGAAGTGGACTGGGAGGAGGATTGGGACTGGAGTCAGGCGTGATGGGTTGTGGTACATCAATCATGAGGAACTGGGACTAGCTGCGGTGGTTGGAGATGTTGAGAAGGAGATCAGTTTGCTTCACTGTCAGTTAGGACATCCATCTTTTGAGATTTTGAGTAAGTTGTATCCAGACCTCTTTAGTAGAGTGGATAAGCATAGATTGGTGTGTGATGCTTGTGAGCTTGGCAAACATACTCGCTCTACATATGTTGGCATTGGTCTTCGTAACTGTGAGCTCTTCATATTAATACATTCTGATGTTTGGGGACCATGCCCAGTTACTTCTGTGAGTGGTTTCAAGTGGTTTGTCACCTTTATTGATTGTCACACTCGTATGACTTGGATTTATATGCTTAAACACAAAAGTGAGGTCCTTCGTTGCTTCCAAGACTTTCATAAATTAGTGACAACTCAGTTTGATGCAAAAGTTAAGATTATTCGGACTGATAATGGAACAGAATATATCAATAATGAATTTGTGTCATATGTCTCAGATGAGGGGATTATTCACCAGACTACTTGTCCTGGCACCCCTCCTCAAAATGGTGTAGCTGAGAGAAAGAATCGGCATTTGCTAGAAGTGGCAAGATCTCTGATGTTCCAGATGAATGTACCAAAGTATCTATGGAGTGAGGCTGTGATGACAGCAGCATATCTTATCAATCGCATGCCTTCCAGAATACTTGGTATGAAGTCTCCTGCCGAACTGTTATTGGGTAAGCGAGAGTTCAAGGTTCCTCCAAAGGTGTTTGGCTGTGTTTGTTTTGTGCGAGATCACCGACCTTCTGTTGGCAAGTTAGATCCTCATGCAGTAAAGTGTGTGTTTGTTGGCTATGCTTCGAGTCAGAAGGGGTATAAATGTTGGGATCCCATTGGGAGAAGACTGTTTGTGAGTATGGATGTGACATTTCGTGAGTTTGAGCCCTATTATAAAAGTAAAGGAGATCTTGACCAATTTCTTGAGGAATTCTCGACTGTCATGGAGGTTGATAGTCGAGAGGGGGAGAGAGAGAGAGGTGACATACATGAAAAAAATGTTGGTGACAAGAATGGAGAGGCAGTAGTGATTGGATCAATACCATGCTCTATTGATGATGCGAGTAAAGAAGTAGTGGAAGTCATTGAAGATACACAAGATGAGGATAGAGAAATGGTCCCTCATGAAGAGGATGGAGAAGAAGGAGAAGTAGTTGTTGGGACAATTCCATGTCCTATGGAGGGAGCCGAAAGGGTGAAACAAAAGGATGTGCTAGTTTACCAAAGGAGGCGGTTTGATAGTCAGGGGGAGAAAAGAAAAGGGTTGGTGCAAAGTCAAATTGAAGAGTTACCACACCAAAAATGTCCAGTCCCTGAATCCTCCCAGAGTCTCTCTCCTCCAGCCTCCTTGGCTTCTCTTGAGACAATTGGTAATACTTCTCCAACTCTTGAACATGTAGAATTACCTCTTGCACAACGTAGAGAGACTAGATCCAATGCTGGTAGACCTCCTATACGTCTTGGTTTTGAGCATCTTAGTTCTATGCATGACATTGCAAACTATATCACATATTCTCATGTTTCACCAGCATACAAAACATTTATTGCATCATTACAGACAGTGCCTATACCAAAGGATTGGAAGTGTGCAAAGCAGGATCCAAAGTGGAAAGATGCAATGAAAGAAGAGTTGAATGCCCTTGTGAAGAATAAGACTTGGGAGCTTGTAAAACTTCCACCAGAAAAAAGGGCAGTGGGATGTAAGTGGGTCTTTACAGTGAAGCAAACCCCTGAAGGGAAGGTGGATATGTATAAAGCAAGGTTAGTCGCAAAAGGCTATAGTCAAACATATGGAATTGACTATGATGAGACATTTGCACCGGTGGCAAAAATGGGTACAGTGAGAGCTTTGGTATCTTGTGCGGTGAACTTTGGGTGGCCCCTTCATCAGCTTGATGTGAAAAATGCATTTCTCCATGGTGATTTACATGAGGAGGTCTACATGGAGATCCCTCCAGGATTTGGGAATAGCCAGACAGTTGGAAAAGTATGTAAACTCAAGAAATCCTTGTATGGGTTGAAGCAGTCTCCACGTGCATGGTTTGATAGGTTCAGGCATGCAGTGTGTGATATGGGGTATTCTCAGTGTAATGGAGATCACACTGTCTTTTACAAACATAGGGGGACACACATCACCATCTTGGCTGTGTATGTTGATGATATAGTGATCACTGGTGATGATGTAGAAGAAATCAGGTGTCTAAAGGAAAGGCTGGGAAAGGCATTTGAGGTGAAGGATCTTGGTCCTCTTCGCTACTTCCTTGGAATTGAAATTGCTCGTTCATCAAAGGGGATTGTTCTCTCTCAGAGGAAGTATGTTTTGGATCTGTTGACAGATACAGGAATGCTTGGGTGTCGTGCAAGTACTACGCCTATTGATAGGAATCACCAATTGTGTGCTCAATCAGGTGATCCCGTTGATAAGGAAGCATACCAAAGACTGGTGGGACGCTTGATCTATCTTTGCCATACAAGACCTGATATTTCCTATGCGGTTAGTGTTGTGAGTAGGTATATGCATGATCCTCGAACTGGTCACTTGGATGTTGTTCATAAGATTCTCAGATATCTGAAAGGGACTCCTGGAAAGGGATTGTGGTTTAGGAAGAATGGGCATCTAAATGTGGAAGGATATTGTGATGCTGATTGGGCGAGTAGTATGGATGATAGAAGATCTACATCAGGTTATTGTGTGTTTGTTGGTGGTAATCTTGTTTCTTGGCGAAGTAAGAAGCAGGCAGTGGTGGCTCGGTCTACCGCAGAAGCAGAATACAGAGCTATGGCTTTGAGCTTCAGTGAGATGTTGTGGATGAGGAGCTTGTTGACTGAATTGCGAGTGCTAAGAAGTGACACTGTGATGCTTCATTGTGACAATAAATCAGCCATCAGCATTGCAAACAACCCTGTTCAGCATGATCGCACTAAACATGTGGAGATTGATAGGTTCTTCATTAAGGAGAAGATTGATAGCGGGGTGCTTAGGTTGGAGTATATTAAGTCATGTGAACAACTAGCTGATTGTCTAACAAAGGGGTTAGGTCCTAGTGAGATTCAATCAGTATGTAACAAGATGGGTATGATTGATATCTTTTGCTCATCTTGAGGGGGAGTGTTGGTGTAAATATGTATTGTACCAAGGACCTATCTGTAAAGTGTTATGCTAATAGAATAGATGAGGAAGGGGTGAGCTGAGTAGGCAAACCCTAGAAAAATTCCCCAAATTGAACAATAGAAATAAAACATATTCAACCTGCTCCTTGCAACACATGAGTAAGCTAGTATTTCAAATAAAATAATTTCACTACAACGGCTCACAAATGAGAGAGAGCTATAAGGGTAGAATATGAAAAATTGTTTTTAATGGGGATACATAAGACATATTAAGACAAATTTCACACAGAAATTTACAAGTCCTATGTAATTTTATACCTCAATCATAGAAACAAAGTTGTGGATCAAATCTTTGAGCTATAAGTGGAAGTACCTCTAAAATGAAATCATGATCTCACGATGTATGGAAAAGCATGGCTCTGACATGCATTTGATTCAAGTATGATTCAAACCTAAATGTCACAGAAAACATTACCTTCTTCCGAACACTGCAGTATCCACTGAACTGGAGTGTGGCACCCAACACTGAATCAATCAGACTGCCAAGCAAACCAGCAGTAGCAGAGATGGGTATTACTAGAAGCTGTCGAAGAGCCACGTCAAATGAGCACTCCACAGTCAACAGTCCAACAAAAACAAAAGTCAGACCTATGATTAGGCCACCTGCTGTGGCAGCAAGAAGGCCTTGTAAGGTCACTCCACCGTTTGTACCTTTCCTGACAGGCTTAAAAATGATGTTGAATTATCAGATCACACAGACAGACATGTTCGCACGATATTACCATGCACATTTCAAAAAACAGGAGCAGTAAAATGACGCAATGCAGTAGGAAATAACATCACGCCTACAAAAGGAACATTTCCCTTATACCAAACTACCTTGGTTCTAGTTTCCAATTATGCCTATTGAATTTATGGGAATTGGGCATCAACCTCAACCCATTGAATATGTTGTTAATATTCCAAACTTGCTTGCCTAATGTGATCAATATGTGATCCATAAGTTGCATGAACAACATGAAAGCATTTCTAGAGCAGTAAGTGTTAGTTGTACACTTGTGTGATCCAAAAAATTGGCAAAGCAATTTGTTCAATACTCCCTCCATCTACTTTTGATAGTCATATTTCATCTTGGCACATAGACCAAGGATAAGTAATTCTACTTATCATCTATTTAAACATGCTACTAGTTATTCCTCGTAAGCAAGCGATTCATTAATAATGTTGTTGGATTGAAATATGCCTATTAAAAATAAAATTTTCAGATTTGAAAATATGACTATCAAAAGTAGATGGAGGAAGTACAAAATATGTTATGTGACAAGATTTTTTGCCACTTCAGATAACCTGATTGGTACTCACAGGCCATGGTGTGTTGTATAGTCAAATTTGAGGAGAACAAATCATATGCTGTGGGTTCCTCTCCAAGAAAATAATAATAATAATAAACCCATTGTGCGTTTGGCTTAGAAAAAGTTTAGACCAGTGGCTAAAACCTGAAAGACACCAAATGTGGTAGGCTGGTGGCCAAGCATAACCTTACTACTTCTGCATGAAGATTGCAGAAACTAGAAAGATAATCATGACTGAAAGGAACATCTGACCCAAAAAAGGAACACATACCTTCAGAGTAGTAATAAGACGTGGCTGTTCATCACTAAGCACACCAAGTTCGGATGACCAAGTATCTCCATTGCAGCAGCAATAGTGACCAATGATGCCACCAATAATACCAGTTATAACCTTTGACTCATGGGAGTCCAGGCATTGATCTTGTCCTCCGGTCATTGTTGCCAATATGATGACCAATATAGTAGCTATTAAGCTATTTGCTAGGACTTGGATCCTTTAATGTAAAACGTGATGGTAAGATACAAAAGTAAAATCAAGTTGACAAATCAGCAGCTGTTGTGTTATATCCAACTATAAATGTTATGCTGTCCATACAATAAATCACTAATTTAAATATTTGATAAGGTCCACACAATTCACTAACATCTTCAGAGTATAAGTTTTGCTCAAATAAGGTGATGGTTCCAAGAAAGAATAGAACCAGTTCAAGAATAGTTCTGAGGAAAGAAAATAACTAATCATAATGTATTTTCATCAAATCAATTAACTGTAAGGGGGGTTATTCTTTGATTTATATAATAGCTTTACACTTTTCCTATGGCATGCTGATGACAGTATTGAAGTGTACTCCTAATTTTTAACACTGACATCATATGATCGAAACTTAATGAAGCTCCATTGAGTTCTCAATCTTATAAACTGTCTTCCAAACAGGCATTGACTTGAACGTTGATGCGCATAATATATAACAATCTTTTGCAACTGTACTAATAGTCTGTGGGCAATGGGCTTATTGAAACCACCACATAGCAAAACATTGCACACCAATACCATTTGCGGCAGTAGCTTTATATTTCTATCTAGAATAACGACTACATGATTATCAGACACTCAGCAGTCAGCATCATTAGCTGCCAATTTAGACATACTAATTAATTTAGTTGGAGATGGCAGATTCCGTGGCTTACCAGTTGCGCTGGCCGCCCTCCTTGAAGTCGTCCTCGATGCGGCGCTTCCTGTCCGCGCCGATCTTGGTCGCCTTGGACGAGGTGAAGAAGAAGGCCAGCACGAGCGCGCCGTACCTGTACCCGCAGGCGAGGTGGATCGCCATGACGACGAACCCGGCTGCCCCGCCGGAGCCGTCCAGCGAGCGGCGGCGGACGGCGCGCGCGGCGATGACGGCGGCCAGCGCCGCGCCGACGGCTGTCCGGGCCGCGACTGAGGCGGCGGGGATCCCCATCGGCTGCGCTGCGCCGCCCGCGGCGGGAGTCAAAGGCGCCAGCGATTGGGGGGTGAATCGAATTTGTGGTAGGGGCGCCGGATTCTGGGAGACCGGGATGCGACTGTACCAGTAGTAGTCCAAGTGACGACTAGTAAGTATGCAGTTCAGCAAATCTGAACCGTCGGTTATTTCCTCCGCTGATGACATTGAGCAACGTTGACGTCTTCTTCCCTGCCCTGTCTGTCGAATTTTTTTTATTTTTTTAGAATCTTTATGTTTTAATTTTATTAATAGACCATTCTAAAAATATCGGTCCTTTTAGCGCCAGAGTCGCTGGCGTGGTCTCTCTGATGCTGCCCCCTGCCACCACGGAGATACTAACATGCCCACCCCCCTATCCCCCGCTCCCGCGCCCCTCGGGGGCTCCCTCCACTCTCCTTAAATTCACTTGTTGTGTGTTTTTGTTTTTGTTTCTGTTGTTTTTTGTTTTTCCTGTAGTAAAAAAATAGTACATTTTTTCTCTTATTAAAAAATTAGGGTTCCTTGAGTTTGTTTTTTACATTCGAGTGTCCTTCCTTCAAACAGACATAATTTTCTCATATGGACTCGGAATTAAGCAAATTATATATATATATATATATATATGGATATGTATAGAAAAAGTTACATTCGATTCTCAACCGCCTTACCAGATTAAGCGAAATTAGAATCTCCAAATTCCACTTGCAAGATTGTGTTTTCGAGGCGAGAAGCTTTTCTGTAGAACTTTAGAAAATTCTACCTGTCACATATTTCATCCATTTGAGTTTACTTTTTACATGGTTGGTTTATGTGTGCTCCTAAGTGTAAAAAAATATCAAAAAATAAAAAAATTGCACATCTCTCGTCTACACTAGAGAGGAGAGGAAAAATGGCGTGGGGGGTGTGGCGCCAGCCTCATTGGCGCGCTCCCCCTGCCACGTCAGCACCGAGCCACCACAGTGGCAGGAGGACGGCGCCAAAGTCGCACCCCAGAAAGGCTATTTCTTGGATAAGTTTTTCTAGGGGTATATTGTGAAATAAATTTTTCAAAAGGACCAAATTATGAAAAATCCATAGCAGCTAGCGTGGCAGGCCAGCATTGCCACGGCAGCTGCATGTGACATGACAGAGTTATTTGGCCACGCCAGGCGGGTTGGCATAGCCAAAAGGTTCATTTCTTAGAAATACTTTTAGGGATGGTCTATTAATAAAATTAGAACACTAAAAGGTAAATGAGCTTTTCTTAAGTGCGGTTAGCATAAACATGCATAAAGGTACGCGCGACCAATCAAGGAGCGCCACCTGGTAGCTGAGTAAATTATGGGGTTAAATTACCTGAGGGGTATTAAGGCCATTAGGAGACCGGCGTAAACTCTAATCGTTAGTTTACTCTAGTCGTGATTCCACACCGGAGGAACGTACGCGATGTTAGAGTTCGCTGGAGAAGACAAAGATAACCTCGCCAGTGCTTAAGCTAGGTTTACGCACGATTCCACATTGGTTACGTCACAACTAAAATATCGATAAATTGCCTGCAGACTCTCCATGAAGTGACATGCACGTTATGGAATGGCATTCCAGTCACCGGAAAACTAAGAAGCGAGTGGAAACTTGAATTACGTGCTAGTTCTTATGGTTTACTCTCTATATTGCGCCGCTACTGTAGATCACGTTTAAAGAAAGCCATTGCATCGGCACACGTACGTAAATAGTGGTACAGATGATCTGATGTAGAAGATCCTAGCTAAAAGCAAGCGATCGTGGTTACATCCTATTTACGTTGGTCTACAAATACAAAATACAAAGTACATAGCCACATAAGATCGCTAGCACTCCTCTTTACGCTGTGAGAAAGAAAAATTTTTACGGTGGGCCAGGCCCACCTACATTTAGCAGGTAATCCTCTCAACCGTGTACTGAATAACGATAGGAGTAAATCCCAACGTCAGTCCATTACGAAGCCCATTTTGGCAATAACTGTTTTATATAATAGTCCTTTCTGATTCCACTATTATGAGCCAAACGCAGCATCGGTTTTATTGTTAGCCCCTTATTATTATCCAAAATATTGAAAATGTGATATATAATTTATAATTTTGTCAAGGTCTTGTCCTCGGTTCACCACCACCCTCGGATTGCGGACGTAAGCACATCGATTCTACTCATATGTTCGATGTGCTTGTTTATGTGCGCAATCCATCGTGTGCGTAAACCATCATGTATGCCTTGAACGCCAAGCGTACAGTGCTTTGCGAGTTGCGTTAAAGCCTTTAAAGGTCCTCATTCTTCGGCAGTCGTATGTTGTTGACAATGCACTGAAAAAAAATAATCTAGCGTACCAACGGAGATGTTTGTGACGACAAATAAAATCAAGCAAATAAGATGGACTTACCTCATCTTTGTATGCAATTTAGAATATTAGTATTCCCTCCATTTCATATTATAACTCGTTTTGATTTTTTTTCCTAGTCAAACTTTAGTAAGTTTGATCAAGTTTATAAAAAATTATAGTATTTTTAACACAAAACAAACACACTTTCAAAATTTATTAAATGCTGGATCTCACGAAACTAATTTATATATGAGCCTCACGGCCCATGAGTGACTGCAGCGCGTGCCCCATGGCACTTGTACCCTCGAGACATGTTCCACGAACAACTTGAATCCATCTACATGGTCTACGCGTCGAGTAGGATAAGAGATTAGGGGATTGGTAGTAATACTCATTTCGTTTTTACACACCTCGTGAATTAAACCACTAATTTCCCTACGTGCGAAACCTTCGTAGCTTCGCAGCTTTATTGCTAGCCCATTCGACAGGTCCACATACACATAACGGATTAGGCTTTTCCCTAAAACAATTATCACATCTGGATTAACCATTTTACACTAGAGTGATACTATGTAAACGCCAACCTAGAGTAGACCATTCACACCTTCATGCACGTCGCGACCATGCCCCTGTACGCATAAACCTTTCGAGCGTAGGCTCGATGTGTTTACGTCCAGAGATACCCATGTAGGCCTATACCATATAGGCACCTAACCTATCGAATTTGAACCACAGTCCAAAATGGACGTGTTTACGTCCGAAAGACACAACGATATGTAGGCTCTATCTGTTTAGTATTCTTTTTATAAACAAAAGAGAGGAAGTCAATTTCCAACGCATTTGCGTGGGTTTCTTACATACTCTCTCCATTTCAGGTCATAAGATATTTTGACTTTTATCAAAGTCAAACTGTTTCAAGTTTAACTAAGTTTATAGACAAATATAGTTTTATTTATAATATTAAATTAGTTTTATCAAATCAATAATTGAATATATTTTTATAATAAATTTGTCTTGGGTTGAAAATGTTGCTATTTTTTTCTACAAACTTGGTCAAACTTAGTCAAAAACGTCTTATAACCTGAAACAGAGGGAGTAATAGTAAAAGATGACATGGCGCGACGATCGGCACATCCAACATCCAAACTACTTAACCCTCGAAATATAACTACTAGTTCAACTATACTGTATAAACTACAATCTACTTGCATTATTTCTGCTTCTTCCTTGGTGGCAGGTATCCAGATGAACCGTCGTCATCATCGTTCCAGTAGGCATTCTTGTCGGGTGATGCAAGCGGAGGGGCCTTCTCGTCGGTGTTCCAGTCATCGTCTTTGTCTTCCTCATCACCGGGGTCGGGCAAAGAGTAATCGTCTACAACTAACCCCATTAATTCCAAATTTGGGGAATACCCAGCGTTGGTGTTGAAATCAATGGGGACTCTGTTGAAATCAGCGACGATGCCTCGATATGAAACATGGGTACCATTCCTCCTCGCTAGAAGATGAATCAGAGGATGAGGATGAAGAACTAGACAAAGAACACATGGTGGCGGTTGTGGTTTCTTGTTTGGTTGTAGAGTAAATGAATGGAAGATCTAAGTACATGGTGACAACCCCCAGGAACCGCCGAAGAAGAAGCGCCCCTCCCAGGCGGAGGCCCAAGCCGACGAGATCAAGAGGCTGCAGAATGAGTTGCGTGACGCCACAGATCGTGTGGAGATTCGTGACGGAGCCTTACGCCGGATGATGGAGGAATCCATCCAAAAGGCCAGGCAGGTGGTCCTACGGCTTGGCCTCGACATCCCGCTCATACCCAATGCCGCAACGAGCTTCGCGGATACTGTCGGGCACTACGTGCTCAAATTTTCACATCTCGCCGACGTGCTGAGTAGATTGCCACCGTCGAAGAGGCGAGAGCGGAAGAGGGCGCAGTTCGTGGCCAAGCGCATGTTGGTAGCAAGCCGTGCTCACCGCTGCTCGCCGCCACCGCCATCGCCACTCCTAGAAGAAAGCGATGCCACGGCATGCGGAGAGGTCGCCGAAGCCGACTGAGTTCGTAGGGTGTCAGTACGTAGGGGTTATGTGGGGACACCCGATAAAGTCATGGTGTCCCACGAATACGTAACTGCCCAGGATGTTCAGTTACTCATGAAATGATATAAAAGCATAAACTTCGATTATACAATACTTAAGTCACTTAGTTCACAACACAACATAAATACAAACCATTACATATATGGCCTATAAAGCCTTATTTCTAAAAACAGATAAACTGCTAGACTCCACCCACAGGAACTGCCTTAGCGTAGGATGACCTAGAAACCGTAATCGTCCCACTCTAATGGGTCAACAGGATCTCCATAAGCATCTTCCTCCTCATGATCTGAACCCATTTATGAGTACAAAAGGTACTCAACAAGATATGCTTATGATAATAAATACAATAATTGCAATATAAAACATGCAGTATTGAGAGCCGGAAGGTTTAAACCCTAACCTTAACAGTTATTTCATAGAGCCTACCTTAATAAACATTTGATATAAACATCACTATTGAAAATTTAATTTAAACAATAATAACGAGCATAACATATAAATGTTACTTATAAATAAATTGAATAGAACATCAAGTAATAAATAAGTTAACCATATTAATGGCCTTTTAGTTTAACTTGTGCCCATAATCTGGAATCACCCATAGACACATATCCATTAACCGGGAGCACAGCGTATTCGAATACTCAACGACTCTGCAGCGTCTGCCCAGCTTTACCCACACGATACCCACAGCTGGCCGGGCT